TAATAGACAGCAATTCAAGTAATTAAATAAGTTACGTAATTTATTAAGAGTAACTTCCGTACTTTGTGTGGCAAATGATTTTTATTCGCCCACCGAAGGCGTTACTACCTACGGCCTCCGTCTGTCCGTGAATACGTCAACTTTCTCGTCTCGCCCATAACTTCTGATTCACTCAAGATAATTTAACGAAGCTTCATACACATCTGCATCATCACTAGACGGAGTGCAGCCCATGCTCGTCATCGCCCCAGCTCCAAGGTCAAAGGTCAGGGCCAGTGCTATAGATTGCAGTACAATAGTTTGTCGATGGGCCTATAATGTGCTGCGCACTCGTTTTATAAGGTGGGGCAGCGCACCACATGCCCTTATGGATGGCTGTGGCGCACGGCCGTTCACAGCCTCTGTGGAAATCAATGAAAGCTTTTAAAAAGGGAGAGACTGTTCCCTATAGGGGCCACCAGAGAAAATTTGTAAGAGAAAAACAAGCTAGGTTTTCTGAGAGCACTGCATCTTTAGCTTCTCCAACTTCAAAACAGTCAGATACGTATAAAGAACAAACGTGTTTGAAGCGTGAACATGATCCTACGACACCATGGCACACGACTTTCACTCAATTCAAGATTCAACTTTTATGAACAAGAGACTAAACCCAGTCTCAACAACTGACACAAATGTTTGCAAACAGAGTTGATTTATCTCTTTATCCTTTCAAAACCGCCCACTGTGTTCAGATCTCCACGAAAGTCGGATCTGGGACCGTTGAGTTCAGATGACGTTTGAAATGGATCCTCTATCTGAGCTCGGCACAGTTTTACACCATGTCAGAATCTACAGCGAGTAAACTATAGTAACGCCAGGCTGGCAAAAATACTCTTTACTTTTTCTTACATTACCTAATGTGACTGGAGAAGATATGACATTAACGTTTTACCTGCCTTGTTTGAAATATTGCATACCGCACTTTCTGACTTTTTCCACACGGTTATAGATTTTTTTTGGATGGGCTAACGAGCTTCCTGCCATGAAAAACATTTAGCTTCGTCACACCCGGGCGCTCACATAGCTGCCCAATACCCGTCTCTCTTGGGGGGGGGGGTCCTCGTGACTCAATGAGACTACCTGTATAAATAAAGTAAAAAAAAAATAAATGAATCTGACCAATGAAATTCCCGAACAGGTCACAGCGGACCAATGAAACGGGGGAGTATGTGAGGGGGAGCTCACATGCTCACAGAGCAACTGCGGAGCAGGAGGACAGCTAGTGCAGGAGGAAAATAGATAGTAAAAACTGAAGAAGAAGAGTGAAATCTTTTAAAAGTACCTTGAGCAAATAAAACACAAGATCTGAACATGAGCCATGAAATGAATCCATCAGGTTAAAAGTTCTCAGTGTGGCTCACCAGTTGGGGATCTCCGTCTTCACCAGGAGGTAAAGGACGACGGCGAGGAGGTCGTCTGCACTCACAGCTTCAACGCTCACTGTGGAGGAACGGCACAAAGACATTCAATGATTCGGCTCATGCAGCTGAACGCTTACAACTCCACTCTCTCCAGTTCATTTAGAGACGAGAATGCTCCTCATTTAAATTAATATTCTGTACGCATCTATTAAAACAAAACCGTAAACGATTAGAGCCTGGATACACAGGCCAAGATTTGTTCTGTGGATCGGGTTAGAGCCGGAGTATTTACCTGAGCGCCGGGTGGTCTGGGTGGCGGTCAGGACCACCCTGCGCAGGCAGAGCAGCTTGAGGAGTGGAGACGTCTGCTGGTTGAGCTGACTCAGCTCTCGCTTTGCTCGAGACAAGTTCATACTGCAGTTAGACAGAGGACACGTCGGTCACGGAACAACTCGAAGAAAACGGGACGAATTACATCTCCTGCAAAAATGCAGTGATGCTGAACGAGGCAGCCGCTGAACAAGCTAAAGCTTACAACAACAGCTGAAAAGTAAGAAGAAACAGAAAAAAAGCACAAAAAAGCTGAAATTATAAAAAAAGTAGCTGAAATGAGCGGAATAAAACTAACAGTAGCAGAAACATGCTGAATTTAGCATAAAAAACTTAAAGGAATAAAACAACAACAAAAAGCTGAAATAAAAAAAACAAGCCCAAACAGCTAAAATGAGCAGCAAAGCAATCAAAAGTAGCCAAATAAAGTACTAAAAACTGAAAGAAGTAAAAAGAAGGTGAAAGAGCACAAAAACTGAAATGGGCAGAAAAAAGCTAAAAAGATTAAGATATAAAAAAAAAAAAAATTTAGCTGAAATGTAGTCAGGTAAGCAAGAAAAAACTTAAATGGGCAAAAAGAAACTGAAATGAGCAGAAAGACGCTAAAAAGAAGAAGAAAAGGAGCTGAGAGAAGCTGAAAACAGGAGAACAAGAACAAAGGTGAAACCAGAGAAATGTCATTTCCTGTGAAAATGTGAATGCTTATTGCTGGTTTCTGCTGAACCAGCTGAAAAGACTTAATCTCTAAACTGTTAATGCGAGTTAAATTT